GCTGATGGGAATGGTCCGGAAGGAGCGAACGAGGACTCCGGCGCACAACAGATTGAAACAAATGACAACGAGACTTTAAAGACAGATGTAGCAGAATTGTCTGAACCTGCAGCTCTCGAAACTTCCAAAAGCGCATCGCCTCAATTACCAGCCATGAATTTCACCGAGGCTCCAGGTAAACTCCGACCGGTTCTTCCAGATTTTCCTCCAACTCCTTTCGTGGAAAACAAATCTCTCAACCTTGCTGAAGGCTCTGCAACCAGCTCTCCCGCTCCAGTTCAGGACAGCCCAAGCATCACAGTCCAGCCAGCAACTCCAGCTGCGAGTGTGAATGCAAATATCGACCGATCTGCCCCTGAGGAAGATGCTGCTAAGACCACATCATTCGCAGATGGGGCCAATGAATCGCAATTGAGAGCTCGCAAACAACCATCATCTAGTGCACCCGACCGATCGATTACCCCATCTTCCATGCGCTCTGCCGGAAATGACGCCAAATCCCGCAACTTTCTCCGAGCATTTTTCCAGGTAGTATTTGTAGATTGGATTGGAGGACTGATTAGGAAGTTATGTGGTGGCGGGCGTCACACGTAAGGATTTCTTCCTTTGGACTTGATCTTTCCTTATTTTCTCACATGATACCCTCGAGTCTTTTATTATAACTTTGGACTCGCATCAAGCTGATCGGTACCCTTAACATGAAATTAGGCTTATAGCCGTTCCTGCACTCCTCATCGTCGTTACTGCACCCATCCTGTACTTATCTGGCCTGGCCAATTTTGGGTTTGGTCTTAGCTCCTGAACAACACAATTGCTTGCTTGCTTGCAACGGAACGGATTATGTTTATTTCGCGAATTGCTCTGTTTTTGAACGAAGGGGGGAGGAGGGGAGGAGGTAATACAAGGGTGGGAAGGGGAGGATGATGAATGATGAATGAAAAGAGGATCGGACGACGCAATCAATTATTGATTCATTGGTTCATTCATTTATTGATGGTTGGTGAAGGGAGTTGTCTTTTTTCAAGGAGGTTATTTACAACATTACATTGCATTGCATTGTATAGTATCCTAACGTTCTTGATGCTTTTGTACTTGAGGTATTTGAGTAGTCTAGAAGCGCCATGAAAATGAAAATGAAAATGAATTATGAATTATGAAATATTTTCCGCTTTAAAGTTTGTGAGTGTGAATTGATTTTGGTGCTACGATGTGTGTGTGTGTGTGTGTAGTAGGTATATGCCTGTGTATTAATATAATGTTTGATGATTGTTTGTTGGGGGCATCTTAGGGCATACCTAGGTACTCTCCGTATGCAGTGTTCGTACGTACGTATGGAGATTAATTTTAGAGAAGTGGAACGTAGGATGGAAGGTTAGGGAAGGAATTATGGGGACGGGTATTCCAATTTCCAAGTGGATAATGTTTGGATGTTTGAATGTTTGGATGTTTGTTTGGATGGATTGGAAATTCATTTGTGGGCACTGGGTATTGTAATTTGTGGGTTTTGTGGGATGGGATGGATGGGACTCATGGGAGGGATGGATGGGTAATTTGCGAATTTGTACCGCTGTTGGAGGTTGGTTAGTTGGCTCGGTTAGTTGGAACTTGGTTGTATTTGTACGATACGAAGTAGACTGTGGGTTGTGGGTTGTGGGTTGTGGGTTGTGGGTTGTGGGTTTAAACTGTTGTCTGTAGATTGTAGACTGTAGACTGTAGAATTGTATGAGTGTGAGTGTGAGTAATTATTTTGTATATACAATGAAGGATTTTGTATTTATTTAGGTAGGTGGTAGGTGGTAGGTAGTAGGTAGTAGATAGAATATAGAGATTGAGATGAGATGGAGATGGAGATGGAGATGAAGATAGAGATGAAGATTATTTTTATATGTTAAGTAGATAGATAGGTAGGTAGATAAATAATTTAGATAATTTAGATATATAGATATATATAGATATATATATTAACTATATAGTGTATATGTATTGTATGTATATTGTATAAAAAATAATAAGCGAATATAATTGTTATTGTAATTATAATTGTTGAGAAGTTACTAGGCATCTACTAGGTAGTTGATTTGTTTGGAGAGAAAGAGATTTAAGAGTAGAAGATGATTTAGGGAAAGATTTGGAAGTAGAAGATGAATGATTGAATGAATAATTGGATGATTAGTTTATAATGAGATATTCTGTAGATACTGAGTCTGAGTCTGAGGGCTGTATACTTCGTAAATAGGATGGGACTCGTAGGAGATGGCGAATAGATAGAGTATTCCGTATAGCGTGTTCGAGGGGTGGATTGGGTATGATATGGTGGGGTGGGGAGGAGAGATTGTGTAAGGTATGGTATATTGTAGTCTGTAGATTCGTATTGAATACGCGGATTATTTTGTAGGGATGACCGGTGGAGGTTGGTGTGTGTATATGTGTGTGTGGGGAGAGGTGGTACGGTGAGAGGGATTGGAGAGGGGATTGGAGAGAAGAGGAGAGAGGAGTGGGGGAGAGGGGGAGAGGGGGAGAGGAGGAGATAGAGGAGGATACCAAGCAGAGTAGGGTAGAGGAAATTGGGGAGGGAGGTGAGGGACGGATGGATGGATGGATGGATTGGAAGTATACATGCATGCATGCATTGTAGTCACGTGATGTTGTGCTGTATTGTGTTGTGATGTGATCCAATCATGGATGTGCTGAGAATGTATGTGTGGCTGGGTTCATTTGGGGATTGGATGTGGAGGGTTGGGTTGATCGCTAGATGATTGGGGAATTGGGGGTGAGAGATGGGAGATGGAGATGGAAATGAAAGATGGGAGTACTGTACTTATATGTAAGTATCATAGATAGACATATCATCACGGAGGAAACGCAAAAGTACAAAAGTGCGAAAGTATGATTTCAGATGTACGGAACGACGTATCAGTGCGAATGCGAGATGCGAGATGCGAGATGCGAGATGCGAGATGCGAATGCGAGTCAGAAGAGGAGGAGGGAGGGGATTGAGATGAGATGGGATGGGATGGTATGATATATACGGAGGTTGACGGTGTAAGTATTATAAAACACACCAAAAAGCAACCAAGCTTTTTCCTATTTTTATCATTTGGACCAATCATATCATCATACTGATTGAAAATTTATATAATGAACTCCAAACAATAAAAGTATTATAAATTTATTTTACCTCTAGCAAAATCACTCAAATTTATTGAAATTCATATTTTTCTTTTCAGAAATACTATTTTAAGTTTATTTAAAACCTATAAAAAGCTTTGAAAGCTTCAAAAACTTCAAAATTAAAAAAGTTGAAAATTTGAATAAAAGAAGAAATTTGAAAGGGAATAGCTGAATATCTAATAAAATTAATAAAAGCAGTATTGGAATTTCGTAAAATAGCAAATTTTATTAAAAATAGGGCTTATACGACTTACGCCTTTAACCTCCGTAATATGTATTACTGAAATGGATACTCGTAGTGGGATGGAGAAAATTGGAGATATCTATCAGTGTGCTATTTATATTGAGATTCGAGAAGACCCAAAAGATTTGAATTGAACATTGAATTGAACATTGAAGGGGGCAGGGAATTGTAGGTGAGAGAGAATGAATGGAATACGATTAGTAAGACACCTAGATAGGTCACTCTCTTGATTCTGGTTCGTTTGTTCGTAAGTTCGTAAGTTCATTCGCTCGTTTGTTCAATGGAGAAGAGAAGAGAAGAGGAGAGGAGAGGAGAAAGAGTTGAGGATTCCGAGGTAATACTAGTACTAGGTATGGACATATGTACATTGTACACCGTATGTGATCAAAAAGAATATACCTGCCGAGTATATTCAGTCCAATGGCATTGAATCATGTGTGCTGTGCCTCCTCATACGGTGGTAACTGTGCATTGAATCGACAGGACAATCGATATGACACTCTTGACATCCATCTTGACATCCATCTTGACATGATAATAAATTAAAATATTACATCAAAACCTCAAAATTGATCAAACCCCAAACCTCAAATTCCTCAATACAGTAACCACTGCGTTAATCTTACAAATCCTCATTGGTCACAAATGGAAAGAAAACAAAATGTGATGGAATGATTGGATATCAATGACCGAGGCTTGTTTGACGGACATTTATAATAATTTATGATAATTATAACAATTTATAACAACTTATAGTAGGTAATTACGGTAATTCCCCCTTTTGTCGGGGCATCGGGCCTTGTATCATGTATTGGCCGCGTCAATTGTGAGAGGCTAAGGACGCTAGTTAAGACACTAGAGAGCTTAGATTCTGGGGGGCTATGCAGATGCAGGAAAGTCAATGTGAAAAGGGTTTTGGGGGGAAAAGGAAAGGAGAAAGACTAAGAGAGAGGACCCTGATTGAAGTGAAGGTGAAGGTGAAGGTGAAGAGTGAAATTGAGGTCAAGTGAAGTGAAGTTTAATAATAATCATAATAATACCTAGGTAGTAATAATAATAATAATAATAAATTTGATGAGTTGATGAGTTGATTCGATTTTAATCTCAATTCCAATCTCAATCTCTCTCTCATCCTCATCCTCATCCTCATCCTCATCCTCAAACAAACAATCCATCAAATAATTTCACCACTTGTTATATCCTTTTACGCTACTGCCTATTTTATTCTGTTTATGGTTTTTTAATTGTGAATACCTACCTACATACTCTTCCCCTTGATTCACTCTTGCATTGTGATTTACTACTTTCTTTTTCTCTTCTATTCAATCCTTTGGTCCTTTCCTTTCCTCTTCTACTTTTACCAAGACTTTTCGTCATCACATGGCAGTTATTCCGCTCTTTATTATCTCACCATAAATATATTTGCTTGGAGTTGGAGTGCGACGACGAAGGAGAAGAAGACGAAAAGAATTTCGATTATCCCAAGAACAAAACCACACAACGAAGAGGGTTACCGATTCAATAATACCAAAAACTCGTCAGATGAAGGACAACTTCTATCAGAACTCCGAAAAATAATCTCATCATGGGAATCAAAAGTCAACTCTACCGCATGTCGCGATCATCGTCCCCTCGATACGCTCCTCTCCCCCGCAATTCCCTCGATGCCAACGACTTTACCTATGAATACAAAGATACATCGGTTTCCTCGCGGCGTATCGCATCGAAACTCCTCCGAGCCTTGAGAAGGATCTGCAAACCGACATATATCTTCCTCTTCTTCATCCTGTTTCTATGCTGGCAGGTTATCTTCAATGCCAGTTACACCAATCCTCCGAAATTCTCGATACCTAGCGACGAAAAGGTATTTATCGCAGCGAACATTGTCGATTCGAAAATGATAGATGGGCTTTGGGGCGATAATCTGGTTGCGCTGGTGAATGCGATTGGAAAGGAGAGGGTTTACGTTAGTGTGTATGGAGGACCGAAAGATTCCTTGAAGCGATTGAGCGCGAGGTTACATGGTGTGCAGAAGAAAATTGTGGCAGAGTCAGACGATGTTATTGATCTTTCCACTTTACATCGCATTACTTTACCTAGTGGAGCGACGAGAGTGAAGAGAATTGAATATTTGGCTGATGTGAGGAACAAGGCTTTGGATCCCATGACTTCTGGCGAGGTGAAGGAGAAGTATGAGAGAGTGCTTTTCTTGAATGATGTAATCTTTGAGGTCGAGGGTGCGATGAGATTACTGTGGGGGACAAATGTCAATGAAGAGGGGAAGGCCGAGTACAAGGCGGTTTGCGGTGCGGATTTTATTACGAGCTGGAAGTACTATGATACATATGCTACAAGGGATACCGAGGGTTATAGTATCGGTGTACCAATCTTTCCATGGTTTGGAGGAAAAGGAGAAAGCACCAGCCGAAATGATGTTTTGGCTGGAAAGGATGCGGTCAGAGTTAAGAGTTGTTGGGGAGGGATTGTCGCTTTCGATGGGAGGTTTTTTCAAAAGGAAGTCGCAAAGTCGACCACTTCGAAGTCGAAAGAAAGAGAACCCAAGGACTCGGATCATATCTACGAGCGGACATCCTCGGTCGCAGAACTTCCACTCAAATTTCGATCCGAACCAGAATCTTTCTGGGATTCTTCCGAATGTTGTCTTATTCACGCTGATATCCTCGCAACACCCGATTTCCCAGATTATACTACAAATACCCGAGAAGATTGGGGTGAAGGAATTTTCATGAATCCTTTTGTGAGAGTGACATACGATGCGAAATCATTCCACTATATCAAGTATGCGAAGCGATTTGAAAGATTATTCACTCCATGGCAAGCGATCATCAACCATTTTGCGCATCTTCCGCGATTCAATGATAGGAGAATGGAGAATGAGGGAGATATTGTGGAGGATAGATTATGGATTCCTAATTCGTTTACACCCGCGCAAGAGCAAGCTATGATTGATTTACAAAAGAATTTTGGTGGAAAATATGGAAAGGCTTCTAGTTCCACGGACAAGAAGAAGCAAGAAAGGAGAGGTGTGGGCGATGAGGATTCGACCTGGCAAGGAATCGATTCCTTTCAAGCGTCGTCCTCATCATCACATTTTTCCGCAATAGTTGGAGGTCTGAAATCTCGTGCAAAGACTTCTCCACCATCGAGAATCATGCATGCGAAACGACAGATAACACCAAGTGATGGGGCGTTAGCAAAGCCAAAGGGATACTGGGAGAGAGAGGGACATTATGTGGATTATGAGAGAGTAGCCCGAAAAGGAGGATACTGCGGAGTAAGACAATTGACGATTTTGAGGGAGGGAGTTATTGGAATTGGAGAAAAGGGATGGGTAAATCTCCGAGGAGAGGTACCACCTAGGGAAGCTAATGCGACGAGGGTATAAGTCATTACCATCTGTTTGTTTGGCTGGATGGAAGCAGGAAGGAGGAGGAGGAGGAGGAATTCCGATTGATTGATTGATTGACGAGTTGAAGATAAACCATTTTGTTGTTGTTTTTTTGGCGAATAAACTGCATGTGCTATGTATTGGGATATAAAATAGATCGATTGGCTTTAACACCTCTGACAAATGGCTAGTCGGGGAATGATGGGAGTAGGGCGTTGAAGAGTTTTTTCTTTTTTTTTTGTCTTTTTTGGTGGATGAATGGATGGGCGGATATGCATATGAATATATCTGTTATTTATCTACCTACCTACCTACTTACCTATTCATGGATATATATAAGGAATAGGGGTTTCTTGTAGATAGGATATTCTATTTTGAGTTTTTGGGGAGGGATGGAGAGATGGATGAATGGATGGATGGATGAGATGGGTTGAGATGGGTTGAGATGGGTTGAGATGGGTTGAGATGGGTTGAGATGGGTTGAGATGGGTTGAGATGGGTTGAGATGGGTTGAGATAGGTTGAGATGGGTTGAGATGGGTTGAGATGGGTTGATATGAGTTGAGATGAGATAAATAGGGAAATTATATTCTTTTAATATTCTGGATTGTGTTTTGTTGTGCTTTTTGGGGTGTGTGATGTAATATGGTGTGGTTTGATATGGTATAGTGTGATGGTGTGGTGCTTGTGAATGTAAATGTGAAGGGAGGTGAGAGGTAAGAGGTGAGAGGTAAGAGGTAAGAGGTGAGAGGTAAGAGGTGAGAGGTAAGAGGTAAGAGGTAAGAGGTAAGAGGTAAGAGGTAAGAGGTAAGAGGTAAGAGGTAAGAGGTAAGAGGTAAGAGGTAAGAGGTAAGAGGTAAGAGGTAAGAGGGGAGAGAGGAGAAATAGATAGTTATAACTATTATGAGTTTTTGCTATTGGTTGTTCATCTTTCCTTTCGCCCTTCTCCTTTCCTCTTCTTCTCCCTTCCTCCCTTCCTCCCTTCCTCCCTTCCTCCCTTCCTCCCTTCCTCCCTTCCCTCCCTTCCTCCCTTCCTCCCTTCCCTCCCTTCCTCCCTTCCTCCCTTCCTCCCTTCCTCCCTTCCTCCCTTCCTCCCTTCCTACCCAGCATGAAATATGAGTAATAAGGTTGAGTAATAAGTAATAAGTAGATATCTATAGTATTCATAGGTACTAGATATATATAGGTGAGGTCATAATAGGGGAAGAGAGAGTTTGAGAAAGAAAGCGATAGTTTGAGGGGAAGGATAAGAATATAAGAATGCGAAGGAGAGAAGGATAAGGATATAAGTAGATTATTTATAAATACTAGACATTTTTAGCAAAGATTAATAATAGGGGAAAAGAGAGCTCACAGGGGAAAAAAGAGAGAGTTTACAGGAGAAATAGGAGGATATGAGAATATAAGAAAGAAGGATAAAGATATAAGAAAGTAAAGAAGAGAAGAAAGAGAGCGTTTAAGGAGAAGGAAGAGAGAGGAGAGGCCGAGTTTGGGAGCCGGAGAGTTTCGGAGCGGACGACGCCGAGACACGGCGAGAGCGTTTGAGGAGAAGGAGAGTTTACGGGAGAGGAGAGGAGACAGAGCACGGGGATAGGAAAAAGCAGCTTGCGGGAAGAAAGAGTTTAAGGAGAAAGAGCGCGTTTAGGAGACGAGAAGACATATAAGAATATAAGAAAGCCGAATAAGATATAAAAAACTTGAAAGTATTATAGGTTATAAGCTAGCTATATAGGTTATCATATATATATCGAAATCGAGGGATTAGACTAGTCTTAGTCTTTATAGGCGCTGGCTCGTATTCACAACTAAATCGCTTTGAAACACGTGATTTTTATAAAACAGTATATGATATTCCTATTTTCTTATTCTATATTCGGAGGGGAAAGGTCTTATTTTATACTTTTTCCTATCAATCTAGCTTTCTACTATTGTAGATCTCTTCCTTTTCGGCTATTCTATTAAATAAAGCTCTTCTTTCTTATTCCTTATTCGATTTCACTATAATTACGTCAACCTAGCTATATATGAGTTGAAAGAGCTAATAAAGAATCGGTTTTCCGGCCGTTCTAGGCTAAGGGCCTTAAGCGATGATCACGTGATATGATCATGTGATATGATCATGTGATTTGGTCAGGTGATCCTGTGATTCGCTCCCAGTACACTATATGAATATAGAACTATATATATATATATATATATATATATATATAAAAAGATATATTATTATATTATTTTTATATAAAAATAATAAAAAGAAAAAAAGAGTTTAAGAAGAAGAAAGAGTTTGAGGAGAAGGAGAGGAGAAGAAGAAAAGAAAGAGAGAGTTTGAGGAGAAGAGAGAGTTTGAGAAGAAAGAGAAAGTTTGAAGGGAAGGAAAAGGGAGTTTAAGAAGAAAAAAAGAGTTTGAAGGGAAGAAAGAGGGAGTTCAAGAAGAAAGAGAGAGTTTGAGGAGAAGGGGAGAGTTTAAGGAGAGGAAAAGGAAGTTTGAGGAGAAGGAAGAGAGACTTTGAGGAGAAGGAAAAGAGTATTTAAGGAGAAAGAGAGAGCTTGAGGGGAAGAGAAGAATATAAGAATATAAAGAAAAGGAGGAGAAGAATATAAGAAAGTAAAGAAAAGAAAGAAGAGAGAGTTTAAAAGAAAAAGAGAATTTAAGAAGAAAGAGAAAAATATAAGAATATAAAGAAAAAAAAGAATAAAAATATAAAAATATGAAGAAAAGAAGAAAGAAAGAGTTTAAAGAAAAAGAAAAGAATATAAGAATGCGAAGGAGAGATTTGGAATTAGGTAGGTAGGTTGTTTTTAATTGTATAGCTGTTAATCTTAATTGGATTTGTATATTTATACTTGTATATTTGTACTTGTTTAGCTGAAGATATCTACTTAATAGGTAGATAGGTAGGTAGGTAGATATTCATTTGTATTTTGTATTTTGTATTTTTGTATTTTTGTATTTTTGTATTTTTGTATTTTTGTATTTTTGTATTTTTGTATTTTTGTATTTTTGTATTTTTGTATTTTTGTATTTTTGTATTTTTGTATTTTTGTATTTTTGTATTTTTGTATTTTTGTATTTTGTATTTTGTATTTTTGTATTTTGTATTTTTGTATTTTTGTATTTTTGTATTTTTGTAGTAGAGTATGAGATGGAATGGGATGGGATGGGATGAGATGGGATGGAATAAGTAAGATGAGTGAGTGAGATGAGATAGGATAAGATAAAATAAGAATAAAATAAGAATAAAATAAGAATAAAATAAGAATAAAATAAGAATAAAATAAGAATACAATAAGAATAAAATAAGAATAAAATAAGAATAAAATAAGAATAAAATAAGAATAAAATAAGAATAAAATAAGAATAAAATAAGAATAAAATAAGAATAAAATAAGAATAAAATAAGAATAAAATAAGAATAAAAAAATCCTTTTTAGTGGTAAAAAAAACAAGGAAATCTAATATTAAATATTAAATAATTTACTAACTAGCTAGCTAACTAGATTAAATAGATAAATAGTTGAATGAATAGATAAATTATAAACCTATACGATATGATTTAAATATAAATCGAGAAAAACATGTATTTTTTAAGATTGAATATTTAGATAATTAGATAGTTTTATATGAATTTAGATTAGATTTAAGTAGATAGATTTGAAGTAGATTAGATTGATGAAGTAGATTAGATTTGAAGTAGATTAGATTAGATTTAGATTAATTAGATTTGGATTCACGTAGATTCACATAGATTAGAATTAGAATTTATATTAGTAAGATTAATTATTATTTTATAGAGGAGTTTTAAAGAGTTAGAGTAGTAATTAATATAAAAATATTTACTTATAGTAGGGATTTGAAATTAAGAATATTTTTATGTTTTGATATTTTGATATTTGATATAATATTATATTATATTGTTTTTTGTGATTATGTTTTATATAAATAAAATTCTTATTATTATAGTTAATATTGATATTAATATGAATAGGAGAAAGGTAGAGGGAAATAGATAAGAGTTATCTGAATATTTTATTATATATTATAATATTTTATAATCTAATTGCTAGAAAAATTTATTATTTTCTAGAGAAATTAAAATTAAGATATAATTAATTATAATTATTAATATTAAAATTATTAATGAATTTCGAAATGAGAGTAAGTGGAACGTATTAGGTATATACTTACACTATTGAACGAAAAAGAATTTTCAGATTTCCGTATTTGTAGAATTCTTTTTTCTTCTTTTATTATTTAATATAAATAAAAGTTAGCCTTAAGATCTTTATTCTTGTTATATTTAAGTTTAATTTATTTATTAAATTTTTATTAAATTTTTATTAGATTTAAGAGATTTAAGAGATTTAAGAGATTTAAGAGATTTAAGAGATTTAAGAGATTTAAGAGATTTAAGAGATTTAAGAGATTTAAGAGATTAAGAGATTTAGAGATTTAAGAGATTTAAGAGATTTAAGAGATTTAAGAGATTAAGAGATTTAAGAGATTTAAGAGATTTAAGAGATTTAAGAGATTTAGACTTAAAGATGCCTTCGGCGCTCTCATGCGAACTAGAAGCGAGAGGCTAGCGAAATCTATTTATTATTATTATTATTATTATTATTATTATTATTATTATTATTATTATTATTATTATTATTATTATTATTATTATTATTATTATTATTATTATTATTATTATTATTATTATTATTATTATTATTATTATATTAGTACTAGCCGTTGTTGAAAAAGAATTTAAAGTCTACAAATTCATAGGGTTTCAAAATTATTATTGTTTTTATATAATAATATATCTTTTTATATATATATATATATATATAGTTCTATTTTCATATAATATACTAGTAGCGAATTACAGAATCACCCGACCAAATCACCTGATCGAATTACATAATTATATCACGTGATTGTCGTTTAAAGCTCTTAACCTAGAACGGCCTGAAAATCAATTCTTTATTAGCTCTTTATTAGTTATTTTAATTTATACATAGTAAGATCGATATAGTATTAGTAAAATCGAATAAGAAATAAGAAAGAAGAGCTTTATTTAATGGAATAGCCGGATTAGGAAGATCTATAGAAAGTGGAAAGCTAGATTAGTAGGAAAAAGTATAAAATAAGACTTTTCCCCCTCGAATATAGAATAAGAAAATAGGAATATCATATACTGTTTTATAAAAATCACGTGTTTCATAGCTATTTAGTTGTTAATACGAGCCAGCTTCCTATAATAGACTAATACTAGTCTATTCCCTCTTATATTCTATATATACTATATACTTATATACTAGCTTATAACCTACGATAATTATTATAATAATTAAAAAGAAAAAAGAAATTCTACGAATCCGGAGTCTGAAAAATTCTTTTTCCCCGACGGCTAGTAATCTAAATTATTAAAGAAATTTTTCAATTTATTTTTAAATATTTTTGTTATAAATTTATATAAGCTTTCAATTGAAAAAGTTTAGGATTTTTAACTTGTTATACTTTTTCTAACCTTATACAAAATAAGCGAATTTTTTTAATTTTTTTTAATTTTTTTAATTTTTCAAAAATATTATAATAATTTTTTTTGAGAATTTAAATGATTCTCAATTTAGATTTAATATAGTTTTTAATTTAATCATATATAGTGATTAATAAACCAGGGTATAGAAACTCGAATAATTGAATATTTCAGCCGGAAAAGCGTTACATGTGTAGTAAGTAGGTTTCAGAACTCTTATATCACGTGCCCTCAAAGCACGTCAAGTTATTGTATCATCACGTCAACCATGCGCGAGCCAAATAATCTACGATGTACGCGGCAGAACCCCACAATCGGGAAGTGGGCGGAAATGGAAATTCATCTGGATTGGATGGTGGGCTGGGCTGGGTGAGAGATATGTGAGGGAGGGGTGCACAAATCAGTGGGTGGTGTGGGTTTGGGTTTGGGGTGTGCGTGTGAATCTTCTTGGGATGGATAGGATGGATGGGATGGGATGGAATGGGGGGTTTTGGTGCGAGAGAAAAGACTTGAGAGAGGCGGGATGAGAGACATGGGATGATCGTGGATCTGTATCGAGATTTTCATGTGTGTATCATGCAAGTGCGTGCATGCATGTTTGTTGGATTTTAGAGGAGAGGAAAAATGGGGAGATGGTCGGGGGGCCTTTCTTTTTGGGGGGATAATTGTATATATATTTGAGTAGTGGACGGATATTGGGGATTTTTTGATTTGATTATTCTTCTGTTTGGTAGTTTGAGACGTGGTGGTCTATGTGAAATTGTATTTTTTGGTACTTTGGAGAAGATTTGGAAGCAAGCAAGAAGCAACAAGCAAGCAAGAAGAATTGAACAACATGGGTGCTCAAGAGACATACGATGGGCCATTCAAAGCAACCGGTGATGAGGAAGTCGCAGCTATAAGCGTTGAAGATAATGTACAGCCCGATTGGACGGAGGAGGAGGAACGATTGGCCAAGAGAAAGTGAGTGATATGCTCCCCATACGAATATCGCGCGCTGTGGTTTTGCACTTCTGGAGGACTCACCATGGTTTCAGAATCGATTTTATTCTTCTACCGATTCTTGGACTAGCGTTTTTTGCTCTGCAGTTAGATAGAGGGAATATTGCAAATGCGTTGACGAGTACTATCACGACGGATCTGGGTGTTACGACGAATCAGATTAATGCAGGATCGAGTATTTTATCCGCGGGAATCGTGGTGTTGGAGATTCCTAGTAATGTTTTATTGCAGAAGGTATATTGGTCCTCTTGGGGAGCTACTCACTCCAATTCTTCAGAAACATAGAACTAAGATTTCCCTAGATTGGACCACAGAAATGGCTCGCAGGTCAAATCTTGGCTTGGGGATTCGTCGCTACTTTTCAAAATTTCATCACGAATTACTCGGGATATATCGTTACTCGTCTCTTGCTGGGATTGTGTGAAGCAGGGTTTATTCCCGGGGCTCTCTATACGATGTCTCTCTGGTATAAGAAATCTGAATCGAGTTTGAGGATATCGATATTCTTTCTAGGGAATCTTTTGGCTTCGGCAACGACTTCTCTGATTGGGGCGGGCATTTTGTCAATGTCGGGGAGATATGGTATTGCGGGGTGGAGATGGTTATTTATCAGTAAGTTTTTGTCTGATGAGTTTGATTTTCAGCCTGCGATGCGGTAGATTGACTTGCTATTGCATAATAGTCGAAGGATTGATAACCATCGGAATCGGCTGTATTTTCATTCTCTTCCTCCCTCCTAGCGTCTCAAATGGCTCTCCGCTTATCAGCGCTGGTAAATGGAGTTACTTTACTCCCCGCGAACAATACATTCTCGTGCGACGAATCCTCCTCGATGATCCTGCAAAAACCACTGGACAACTCCAGATCTCTGGAAAAGAAGTCCTGAGAACGATCATCAAACCAAGGATATTGGTTCACAACCTCGTTACTTTAACATCTACAATTTCTGTTAGCGCGGTACAAGGTTATGGTCCTTCGATCATCAAAAGTCTAGGCTTCAAAACTGTACGAGCGAATGCTATGGCATCGGTTGGGAATTTTATCGCAGCGTTTGTGGTAGTGATTCTTGGATTCGTTGCGTTAGTATCCCCTTTGCAACTATGCAGAATCTCAAACTAACTGTCTCAATTCCAGAGATAAAACAGGCCGTCGTGGCCCTGCAGTCGTTTTCGGCGCTACTTGGTGCGTGATCGCATACGCATGTTTACGCATTTCCATTGGAGAAAGTAAATGGCATCGCTATGCAGCAGTTGTGTTTTCCATGGCTACGAATTCAAATGTCCAGTTAGTTATTCCTGCATTCACTATCCATTGCTCAAATTTACCTGAAAATAACTAATCCCTTCTAGCATCCTCAACGTCTCCTGGCTCTCCATCAACTGCAAATCTCCCCAAGAACGTAGTATAGCCATGGCGATGATCATCATGGCCGCCAATTCAGCGGCGATTGCAGGATCCCAAGTCTTCCGCACGGCGGACGCCCCGCTGTACACGCATGCCTTTACGGCGATGTATATACTTGCCGCGGCGACGTTTGTCATTGTTGTGGGGTTGATGGTGTGGTATATTTTTGCGAATAGGAGGTTAGGGAAGAAACCTGAGGTGGTACAGGGAGGGTTGAAGATGGAGGGGGAGAGTGGGGAGGAAGGAAGTTTGGAGGTGGTGAAGAGATGGTGGTGGACTTGGTGAGGTTGGGTGATTTGAATAGATGGAATGGAGGTGGGGGATTGGGATTATTATTCTTGAATTAATGTTTTCGTTGTGGTGAGGATGCTATTGGATTTAATGAATGAATGAATGAATGAAGGACCCAACGATACAGGTTACTGACTTGTTGTCTTGATATAAATCCCTCGGGAAATTCTGTTTCAAGACTCGTGATTCATAGTCCAAATAATCTCCTCTTCTACATAGATGAGGCAGATCAGAAGAAGAAGGGAAAGGAAAGACTTTGATCCAAGAATAAAAAGAGAGGAGTGACGAGGTAAGTTAGTGAAATGATATAGGATGGAAGATTAATACTACACCAACAGCTAGTAACGTGTGAAATCCTAGAGTTGAAATATACATATTTATATTTGATATACTGAAAAGTAACAGCGAAACGCTTTATTTTTGATGCTTCCACAGTGCCACTCGTATCTAGATAACATCAAGTCTTCAGAGGATTATTTAATTTGTGCCCAGAAGCTTATGTTGTAGATACAGACAAGATCTCATATCAATTCTACCCCACCTCGGGATCAACATTTATCTACCCAAGACAGTTCACACACAAACCATATAAAAAGCATACAGAAACAAAGATTTCACATCTTCCTCACTCTCAACTTTACAAACAATGCCCTCCTCATTCCAAAACAAAACCATCCTCATCACCGGCGCCGGAAGCGGCATCGGTCGAGCCACCGCCATCAAATTAGCCTCTCTGGGCGCCTCTCTCTACCTATCCGACATAAATCCCGAGTCCGTTTCCCAAACCCGCGAACTGTGTCCGCAACTCGAATCATGCTCCCCACAGAAATTCCACACGCATTCTCTAGACGTCAGTGATTCCCAAGCATGCAATACATACATCCTCGATCTCGTGCGCGAACAGGTCACTATCAATCACGTGTTTAATTGCGCGGGGATTAATCCGACCGCGATACCGATCGAGGATGTCTCGGATGAGTATTGGGATCGCCTGATGAATGTTAATCTGAAAGGGACGTTTAATATCACCCGAGCGGTTGCTCCGCACCTCACATCGGGGTCTTCATTTGTTAATGTATCGTCGGTCTGCGGGATGGTTCCCGTGTCGCAGTTTTCGGTCTACTGCGCGACGAAGTACGCGGTGGTGGGGTTCTCGAAATGTATGGCGTTGGAGTTGGGGGGTCGGGGGGTCAGAACGAATGTGGTGGCGCCGGGGTATATTGATACTCCGACCAATGTGTCGGTGCTAGGGGGACAAGAGGAGGTGAGGAAAATGGAGGGGGCGGTGGCGAGTGGGAGGTTTGGCTTGCCTGAGGAGGTGGCGGATGTGGTGGCTTTTTTGATGGGTGACGAGGCGAGGTATGTGAATGGGAGTGTGGTGGAGGTTAATGGGGGGATGGCTCATTGAGGGGGTGAATATAGGATCGAATTGTGAGAGGGGTGTTGGCTCCGGGTGAGCTTTGGGGTAGATATGGTTGGGAGTTTGTCAGGTGATACTATACCAATGTTTTGGTTGAACACTTACAGAGCGGGTTGGAAGAAAATAACCAAAAGCTTCAGGATATAATGTGAGATGTTTAAGCACTCTAGATCTTTGGAAGGCTGTTCATGCGTAAGATTGGATAGGCTTCCAGGCTGTCTATAGATTCCGATGTAGTGTTGGATAAAAATCTGATAATTTGAGAGAGTACAATATGGAATGTTACTATTTATGAAATCGAAATGCAATCAGTCAGCTCCTAGCATCAGATGAGACTACGTGATACCTATTATGCTCTCATATTTCAATAGATTTGGGTTTGAAATATGTGGAATTTATGCTTAGTAATATAAAATACTTTAGTTATTCAGCAGGAGGATTGCTGGAAAGACCAGATGAGATTGTATTGGAGAACTGGATCTTGGAGAAGTTCGAATAAATAAAGGCTGATAGATTCGGACGAAAAGGGAGTTGCTAATAGAGTAGGTAGGTTTGAACAATGGAAACATATAATCTGGTTTACGGGCGAGATATCGCTAGACGTGAAAGTTTTTATAGACCGAATGATATATTGGACTTGAAGCTATTCGGCTTAGATGAAAGGTTAATTTATATGCTCGACTTGTCCCGTCTTACTCCACATCCCGTACCGTGTGGACCGTTTCTTTGAGATATGTATCCACCCATGCGCCATACATACCAACCAATTAACATTCCCGTTTGGATCCACCCAGCAGAAATTTTCATTTCACGCACAATGCAATAATATAGTTTAAAACCGAACATACTCGGCATCAAACAGAGCAAACATCAAAGCTTCTGACTTTGAGATATCAAGCTTCTGTGGTCCAATGGTTAGGATTCCACCCTTCCAAGGTGGAGGTTCGTGTTCGATTCACGGCAGTTGCACTTCCGTTTTGCTTTTTGTTTGCTTTTTGTTTGCTTCTAAGTACTGATCTGTTTGGTTAATACAAAATACCTTTGTTTTTGGTCTCGCTACTCATTAGGGGGGTTCAATTTTTGTTTGATATAAATTATCTACCTGATTATTTGGATACTTATTGTCCTTCTTTGCTTACCTAGTGCGTGGTATTTGGACAAGTGGATAATCGTATTACCGTGGTGGAATGCATGATTTTTTAAAGCACGAGGTGCCCTACTGTACAAGTTCTTCGATAAAGTTAATGAGATACAAAAGCTTTTTACTATTTTCATTTCTTCAAAGGTTCTCCGGTCTGTTGCTGGTCAGATATCCATATACGAGATAGTGGGATAGAAATCTAAATCGAGACCACCATAAGAATATTGCGATGACTAATCTCATTCTTGCAACCACCACCTCGCGCCATGAACACTATCAATTGTTCATGCCAGACGAAATGGTTTCCTTGCGGACTTTCGATCCATTGCTATAATTTTCTTCCTCAACATATTGGTCTGGGATGTAAATGTAACATGAAAATCCATATACTCTGAGAGCTTGCTAACATGTGCGAATAGGGAAATAATCAATGTTCTCGCACTTCCATCTGATCCCTTCATCGATGAATACGCGAATGAACGATGGCAATGGACATGCCATTTGACATTGCTTTGCTATAGAAGCTGCGAAAACTTCTCAACCATGACATTAATTGATTTCTACAGAGATTGACAGGAACGCTATTAATTAATGAGGAATATGGTAGAGATGCGGCGAAAGTTCTCCGGCTCCATTCACGGTGTATGGATTGGCAAGTTGCGATTTCGATACTCTGAGACTACTGGGAGATAACTTTCTTGAATTTTCGGAATGAATGATTTTTCTTGGGTAGGGAAGTTATACTGCTCTGTTTTAATGTCTGAGGTTGGTTTGGATACTCAAGTGGGTTAGGTTAGTTGGTTTCTTACATTTTGAGATGAGCTTCCAAACCAACGATCTATATAAACCTGCTTCATATATCATAGAGCATAGAGCATGGAACCGCAACCGCCATTCATATCAGTTTACCATATGTTTTCTACTGTTCAGTATTCACGAAAGCTCTCCATACTTCCCCGCCTTATCCATATATCTATAGCCAGCCCCAAGCTCAACTCCCTTAACATCGATGTTCGAAATAGTGTCAACCTCTGTCTCCACACCGACTTCTACTCGACCTTCTGTAATCCTCAATGCTTGTTTCTGTCGTCATATTTGTGGATCTGAATATCGTAATCGGCCATGGTCATTTCTAGGCGCGCTGCAAAGGCGGTCGTGATAACCGCAGTAACTGTCCATTGACTGTCTGTGTTTGTTCCCATAGTTTTAGCGGCTATGTTGATAATTTCTCATAGCACGAATTCTTCGACGATAGTTTCTCTGGTTTTTACGCAATCGGTTGGGTATATGGAAAGACACTACACCAGTGATTTTAACGGAGAGATTAGTCAGAGAATCCTTGGTGATTAATCACTATATCCGGTATTTAATTGATGATCGAAAATAGGAGGAACTGGAATGTCGTGAATCATCTCAACTGCGAAGATTGGATTGTATTGGTATCAACTTGGTTGATAAGTATAAAGTACTTTAGTCTTTTATGGTTATATTTGTTCTTGATCATTATTATCTATGGGAAGCTAGTACTTAACATAGGGAAGCGCTAGCTAATACAGTGCCCTCAATGATCACATGATCGATATCCCGACAGATTGGTTAGGGGTGATGGTGGTAGCTCTGCTCTCTTATATTGTTGGTCCTATCATCGGGTGGCGTATCGTATTCGGCATGATACAGACGTATTAGGAATCAGTTAGCTACCTGCACCAGCTGCTGTTGTTCTGTGTGAATCAAGTATTCTTGGGAATCATTAGAACTTGTGTAGAATATAATGACTGGGAGGTGGAAAGGTTCGACGCGCAATTTCCTTCTTGGAAAGTGAAAGAATTGGAGGTTCCTCTCCATCGAGAGTAAAAGTAATCTAATTCTAGTATCTTTCAGTAACTATGGTGTAGATGTCAAAGACCGCCAATCCGAACGCAATTTTTCTGCTAATCAACTTATCTCAATGGGCGAGACTATCTTAAGGATTAGAAATTTCTCTGGAATTTTCGTGGCCCACAGCTGAAGACTTGCCGTGCTGTTGCTCAGTTACCTTCATTACTATCAGTGAGATTTGGCTTTAGGTCAGCAGGGAAATGCTCTCAGTAATTCGCTGAAACATGATTGTTTTATGGTTTTGGAAAGAAAGTTTACTTTGCCAACATGCCTCCTTGTTCATGATTCTACCCCTTTTGAGTTCGTGGATCGGCCACAGAGTCTACACTGTCTCAGCAATACAAACAAATTTCCTCAAATATCATCATATAAATAATCAGGCTGTCGCAGACTGCTTCCAGGAACTTCCCAAGTCGCTGCATTCATGCTCGTACAACGATCGTATGGTTCCAGCATTGTTGCGCCGGGGATTAAGAACACGACTAGATGGGATATCTGGGCGAGAATTACGGCTGGGCATGTCATTGAATCTTCAATATGAAGAAGACTAACTCGGCATTGAGCGATGGTGAACAATGAACCGATGGAGCACAGGCTAGCACAAGAAATTCTCCTTTTGAAACAGCGTCAGGAAAGAGCATTGAGAATCTTGAATTCTAAAGTGAAATCATGAGCAATCGTACAATTATCCCAAAAATCCAACACATATTGAGAGAAATTTTCGATCTATGATGAAAGAACTCGCTGCAACTTGGGCTATTAGAAACAGTGGATTAGCATGATAGCTCGTACTATACTTAGTTCTTAAAGAGGAAGATGGATCATAGCTATTTTCATAAATTCAGATTGTGTTTCAATCCGAACTCGTATGCTCGAAGAGCATCCATTAAGTGACAAAATCATCAAATGTTACCAACTCAGTATGAAAAGAAATGAGTGCTGACGAAGAAGTAAATGATGCTTACGAGAGACAGAGAATGGATTTTGTAAAATATCATCAGCCTCAATACGAAGTTTGCTTGCGTCAGATTAGGAATCCTCTCTTCCGAGCAAACTTGGGCTTTGGCGGGGAAATTTGAAATCCCAGTTTGCCACAATCTTCCTGCAGCATCGAGCAAGATTTCCAATTTTAAGTAGAAAAATAATCCTTTACCAAATTGCCGGTATCAAACATCAAACATCGAGTACAATATGTAACGTGAACACGGTTAATTCGATGCCGGTAGATAACAACGGGAGTGTGATTGGCTCCACAAAGAATTGGGACAAATATAGAAAGAATGTATCTTTACTCCCATGCATTCCTTCAGGACTTGTACGCCAGCCTTGTACAACATGCTGAATATAGACTTTGGAGAAAGTACTGAAGTGACATTGTGATCTTGTATTCCCTGATCATCTGGTTCTTATCGAAATGAAGGAGGGAAACACAAACAAACGATATTAAGAAGGTGGTCAGAAGCTTAAATTCAAGAATAGATGAGAGGGAGTGTGCATTTAATAGGCTATGAACCTGATTAAGAAAGAAGGATTCTTCATCTCGTAGTCAGCAATTGGTGCTCGGAATTCCTGAATTAGCGGGACACACACAATACACCCATCAGCCAATGAAATCAATTATTTCTTCTGGGGATGAGGACTTCACGTGTTCTCGATAAGATAATCTTATAATGAGCATCCATATGGAAAAGTAGATTATTAGCAAAATTTCAATCCTTCGCGGCTGAGTCGTTTACACGAAAGTCGAAAGGAGTTTAGCTTCAGGGATCCCGTTTCATTAGATAAGCAGAAAGCCCCCAACACCAAGCTGAATAATGACAGTGTGGGGTCAAACGAGTTGCAACTTGCCTTGCTCCAGCATCTCATCGATCTCGATCAGATATACGCACCAAGAAGCGATTTGTGTGAGATGAGATGCAGTGTTCCTCAAGATGCTGCAGATAGCATTTCTTTTCTTGGATCCATTATAAGATGTTCTGTGGGGTATCAGTTACGACCTTCGCCGCAGTGTCCAGGTCCTTAATTTCAAACTTGATGACAGGAACCTGGTAACGTTGCAATAAGTTTCTGATTTTGTCGATATCGACTCCAAATGAGGACTTTGCTTGATTCCATCTTCCGTTTATGCTATTCAAAGATTACGCAAACACGGTTGGTGTATTGCTCTAGACTAGCTAGTAGGCTATCGGCATTTGGGACTTTGGCCACGGCCATGTCGCAATGTTAACTCAAATACTATATGCTATAAGTGGTCTAAAGGGTTTAAGACTTTTAAGAAATTCTAAATGGTAGGGTCTTCAAAGATCACGAATTTTGCTTGTTGGCACGTATGCTAATCGGCACGTTTGCCAACTGACAGGGGTAGATTAGATGTTGACCGGCAGGTTTGGGCGGAGAATGCCAATGAGCCGTACGAGCACGTTCGTGAGAGACGAATGAGCTCAATATATCCTTTGGCTCCGCGTGTTGCTAACGGTCATCAAATTTTGAGGTTTGATGATGTTACTACTCCAGGAAGGCTCTTGGATTTCGTTCGACAAATTATGAACAGACCATATTATTTTTCTCGAAGGAATTCAAGGCTTGTGTGTATTGATTGGGGTGGCTTGGCATAGGATTCGCACTTCATCTCAGAAATGATCCCACTGCAACCCGAAGCAGCTCCAAGAAGGCGCAATTCATTATGATTCTATTCATGGTAAACGAATGCTTCGCAACGGGAGGCCTTTGACGTTCACCGAATGAGGAATCTGTTCAGCGGTCTCGAGATGAGGTTATATAAGTATGCTCTTCCGGGTTGGAAAGTAAAGCATCAACAACAACAACTACTCACATCCATTTCCTACTCACATTCATTTGTTTCCTTTTCGGGTTTTTATCCCATTACTTTCCTTCATTCCTTCATTTGAAATTTACAATCTACACTTCACAATTTGAATTTAGTTATTTTTTTCTCTACTTCATTTCATCATGTACTCAACAAAAAGTCTCATCGGGTTCGCGAGCATGCTCGCATCCCTTCCATCTGTCTTTGCTGGCTTTAGTTCCACCTCTTCTAACAGTGTTGCCATCTACTGGGGTCAAGGTCCCAACCAAGGGACACTCGCATCATACTGCTCAAGTAAGACTTTACAATCACTTGTCTGCTTGAAAAAACATAAGACAAAACGCTGACAAACAATTACAGATGCTGGCTTTGACATCATCCCCATTGCTTTCTTGATCTCTCTCAACAAGTTGACTGTCAATGTTGGAAACGCAGATCCCGCTCAAGTCGCAAAGGACATCGTCACTTGCCAGGGTATGGGTAAGACAATTCTCCTCTCCATTGGAGGAGCAACTTACACCGAGAATGAACTCGCAAGTGCTGATGCCGCAACTACTGCGGCCAAGAATGTCTGGGCTGCATTTGGTCCCAAAACCTCATCCTCTACAACTCGACCATTTGGTGACGCTGTCGTTGATGGTTTCGATTTTGATATCGAAACCCAAGGTCTTACCAACTTGGATGTCTTCGCTCAAGAACTCCGCACTCTTTCGGATGCTGAGACCAGCAAGAAATACTACTTGACTGCCGCCCCACAATGTCCTTACCCGGATCAAGCCGATAAGTCCTTCCTTCAAGGCGCAGTCTCTTTCGATGCTGTCTTCGTCCAATTCTATAACAACAACTGTGGTCTTAACAAGTTTGTCAAGGGAAGCACCACTCAATCCGAATTTAACATGGCCACATGGGATACCTGGGCTTCAACTACCTCCAAGAACAAGAATGTCAAGGTTTTCGTCGGTATCCCAGGTAGCACCAGCGCCGCCACAACAGGTTACATTGACCAAGCCACTCTTACTGATGTCATCACTTACTCCAAGACTTTCAAGAGCTTCGGTGGTATCATGTCTTGGGATATGGTCACTATCATTGGAAACAGTGGTTACCTTGCCAACATCAACAAAGCACTTGGAGGTGCCCCTGCTTCAGGATCTACTGGCTCCGCCAACACCTCTGCTGCAGCAACCACTGCCAAGGCTTCCGGCACTCCTGCCCCAACCACCCTTACCACTAAAGTCAAGTCTACTGTTGTCTCTTCCAAGGCTGTTGCTACCACTACCGCTAAGGCCGCTGCTACTACCACCGCCAAGGCTGCTGATGAACAAACCACCGTTGCACCTGCCGGTGCAAGCGCCACTCCCGCCTCCGGAGCTGTTCCACAATGGAGCCAATGCGGAGGTGAAGGATACACCGGATCCACTGTGTGTGCAAGTGGCTTCAAGTGTGTTAAGACTGACGACTGGTGGTCTGCTTGCGAGTAAATTTCCTTTTCCCATCTGGATTAGAATCCACTCGAAGAGTATGACGACCAGAAATTTATTGGCGCATGCATATGGATATACATTCCCATTCTCCTTAAATTCTTCATGGAATGACCTGGCAATGATGGTACGGTAAAAAGGAATGGATATATCTGGACATGTTTGGCATTTTGACGCGCGGGATGTGGTACGTGCATTGTTTGTTTAGCATTTGGAACTTTTTGTTGAGTTTGTGGAGAATTATTTTTGGATTTTTTTTTCGCGCGAGGAAAGATGATGAGTGGTTGGTTGTTTAGATTTGTATTATTATTCTACCTATACTATAGCATGATCGCATTTTAGACGATCAGGTGACCGCAATATATATGATGAATGTCACTTTTGTTTCGAGTGTTGTTTTGAATGTGTTTGACTGTTGTAATTGATATTGTGATTTTCGAAAGTTTTCGTTAGCACTACCTACAACTCAGCAGTAGCTAAACCTCCTGCGATGTCTTAAGAAAGTGAATTGCGGCACTAGGAGCTGGAGGCTTTGCAGGGTGATAAGTTCTACTATAGTCTGTTGCTGTGGAGATGAGATCGATATGATTTCTAACTTGCTTGGCATGACTGGTAAGCACCTCACCAAGGCTCTAAAGGAAAGTGGTTAGTGGTCCAGACCAGCAGGCTACATTCAAGCTTCCAGCACCTAAGAACAATTCATTATCTATAGTGTATACAACAATTTAAGCGGTTCGGATGTTTTAATTGGACTCAAAGATTAAAGTTCCTTATTTATAGGACTGAGGTCTGGGCTATTGCAAATCCCAACACGGATGAGAATGAACTTTGTCTAAAAAGATTGGCATGTGTTGTGATATATATACGCGCCTGTAGTCTATCTGAAGCTCTCGAGCAAGTGAAACAATCTTCAGGACTGATCATCTCTCAATTCACCATCGACACGAAGGCCAAGCTTAAACCCTCCCACGCAACCTCTCTGAAACAACCCCTCATTATCATATGCTCGACTAACATCCCTGAAAAAACTTACATTCTCCTCTCCATATCCCTCAAATGGTCTCTGCCACTCTGCGCAGTAATTCAGATATTTCCATTTATGACCCGTTCCATTCTTTTTTGCAATTTGTTCAATCTCTTCGATTGCACGCCGTGTGGTTTTCTTCACCACTTCGTCATCTCGGGCGTTGGGCCAGTTTACTGTAAAACTCACGATCACGAGAGGTTCATTGATATTATGTAGTCCCAATGGATTCGCATCACCCTTGCGCACCCAATCCGTTAATAATGGTTGCATGACCAGCGTCCAGACTATACCTTTCACACTTCGCAGTGAAGAAATAGCGTCCTGATATACATCATGCGTAGCGGCGAGTGTAGCGATATCATTCCTGATAGTTGTCGTGGCGAGCACTTGGCGTTTTCCAGGTGGATTAAGAGCATTCATTTCATCGGTTCCACTTGTTAATGTGCGCAGTTTACACGTGCTCCAAAAACGCCACATCGATGAAAAGCGTGATCTTTTCCAATATTCTGGCCATTTTTTCTCAGAGGGCCTCGTGTATACCAAATTAACGGAGATAGCTTTTACGCCCAATGGCTGTATGTATGTAAAACATGCCAAAGGATCAGCAGCATGGTGATCCCAATCAACTCCGTTCACGACCTCATTGAAGGCGGATATAACTTTGCTGGTTTGAGAACTAGGCATATAAAGAAAACCGCTCCAGATTTTGGTGCTGGGAAAACTGCGAGCCGTGAAGCGAGTGACGATGCCGAAATTGTTAGAACCTCCTTTGAGGGCACGCCAGAGATCAGGATTCTGGGTTGCGGAGGCTGTGGTGAGAGTTCCTGATGCGAGGACGATATCATAGCTGATTATGTTGGAACATACTAGACCAAATTGAGGACAGAAAAATGAGAGACCGCCTATTTTCAGATATTAAAGAACCGCTCCATGTATCAGATAATCATAAGCTCACCTCCAAAAGTCAGCCCGCCGACTCCCACAGCAGAATTTCTACCACCAACGACAGCAAGCCCCCTCTCATCCAAAACTTTTGAAACATCCATCCACCTACATCCGACTCCAATAGTCACACTCGATTCATCATTCTCCTCAGAAGGTACAACCTCGTTGAAACAACTAAGGTCAATAAGAACACCTCCTTCGATATTCGCAGCCCCAGCAACACAAGAATGGCCGCCACTACGGATAGCGAACAACCCATCGAATCTGTGTTCTTTACCGACCTTTTGCTTCCTCCGTTCATCATATTCACGCTTGAGAATTGTGATAGCTGTGCAAATTTCCTCATCATTGCGGGGACGAACAATACATGATGGGTTTATTTCGCATTCTTGCTTTGCCCAGTAGCCATCCACTGCTTTGTTGAAACTGGTGATACTTTGTGGTAGAATAACACTTTCAGGCAGAGCCGCTGCGAGAGTCTTGCTGATTCTCGTGATTTCTGGAATAATCAGGTTGTCAGTTCGCATTGAGAATAGAAGGCGACGCATGAGGAAAATGGATATAAGTATCAATAAAGCAGTCAAAGACGCGGTAAGTATTTGAGAAACCATGGTCTTGAATCTGATAGAAATGAATGGTCGACTCTATTATCTGACATGTCGGAGGCCATCATTTGTCAGAGGAACCTTAGAAAGACGTGAATAGATGCATATGGCGCAGCACGGCAATTGCCAGCCAATAAATATCCACCAGCATTTACGTATAAAGTTCCACCACCAGTAAAGCAAGTGTATGTAAAGGTACATAAACGCATTCAAACAAGGGCATCTCCCGATTTTCTGCCCCAGCGAAGCCTCGCAAACACATTCTTGAATTTGGAGCGTTTGTGGTTTCTCTCGATTGAGCCGTACTGGGAACAGCAATCGGAATCGGAATACGCAAATGAGCTATTCTCAGCTTCCCTGCTGGCCTTTTTTGTACAAGAGCCACGTTTAAAGATTTTCCTGATCAAATAGATAGGTATGCACCATTCTGTAGGAACCTTGCTTTCGCTCGTTGTTTTGAACACTTCGAATCTCTTTCCGGTTTCTTTCCACCATTCGCTATTGTCTTTTTGCATGTGGTCCACCAATTTCTGTCGTTGAGGGTTATAATTGGCGTCAATCTTTTGCGATATGAAGTCCATGTTAAGGACAATCGCATAAGTTATTGCGCCCACGATGCACGCCGTGATGATGAATGGCACTTTCGTAGAGCTTTCCTGAATGTTTGGAATTGCCCAGAGCGCCTAAGATATGTGAGAATAACGGAGAAGATCAATTTAAATGATGCACTTGCCGCACAGAAAGCGAGAGGCAAATAAAATATGCTGACATACGTCAAAAGTTTGACGTTTTCTCCTAGCCTCGTGGACGCCCTGCTCTCCACCAGTGCGCTGGCATTGAATAGCTATTTCAGAAATTATAGCATTAGAGACTATTCTGGATCTATAATTCATGAGTTTGGTGAAACAACTATCAACTTACCCCATCTCGCAAAGCCTTTGTTGTTTCCAACTTTCTACTGAAATCGCTGCGTAGTTCTTTGAGGGTGTTTACGCGTGTTTGCGCTTGTTGGATTGTTTTCTTGAGCTGCTCGAGCATATGATCACCTCTAAATGTTTGCCGCTCTCTTGGTGGATACAGACACGCTGCGTCTAACAGGTGCTTTGTATCTTCGTCATCCAGTAATGGCTGCAGGTGTTCCTTATAATATAACTCCCATTGCTTGACATTATCAGATAAGACATTATCGATTTCGGTCAAAAAACCAATGGCCCAGAAATACTTTTGAGAGCGAGTGAATTTCTCGTCGTCAAAAAGCAAGTTGGAATATTGCTCAATGTCTAGGAAATTTTCTTCCAAAAGTTCGCGGAAGGGAACGTTTAGCCCCTTCCATCTCTCTATAACAAAAGAAAGCGCCAGTTCAACGCATTCCAGCTCAGCATGAATTGCCGTATCATGTGTGAGGATGTACTTTGATTTTCTTTTAATAAAGAAATCGTCTGCCCCTAGTATAAGAATCGTGTAGAACGGATCGAAAGGCCCATGAGCAAAATCAAGGGTGTTTATATAATCATTAGAGGTGAAAATTGAGACCTGAAAATTCAATTAGCAACGAATAATGACCTGAGACGAAAGAATATGGAAAAGAATATGGAATGAATACAGTAAGGGTAGAAAGTCTCAGATGACGATGAGCAGATTTTGGGTTATCACCAAAGAACGGTCCGGTCTTCCATCGCGGTATGGCTTTGAGTGGAACATCACAACCATTAACTAGTTCGAAGAAAGTGAGAGTGTAGTGAGAGGAATTGTGAACTTGACTAGGCGAAAACCTTGGAAATTGACTCGCAAGGTGGCTATTGAACAGTTCTTGTGCAACTTTATTCGATAGAAAATTGTCAGCAGGTGCCTGTGCTGTTTCTATCGCGGGATGACCATTTGTGTGCTTGTTGCTATAGTTCCAATGACCTGTATTCGCCATTCCATTGAGTAATCTGCATGTTACGATTTGTTAGTCCCACTGAATACCACTTTAAAAGTAACAATTCCAAAGGTATTACTGACATCAAACGTCGCCAAGGAGCAGGTGTTTTGAAGGATCCTAATTGCGGCAGTATCAGAGGATCGAATGTTAGTATTTGTTCGGACCTGGATACGTTAGCATTAATCAGTTAATTGAGCCTAAGACTCACTTACATATATGGGAAAAGCAAAGAATCCTTGTCTAGCAAATTACAAAGAAAAAATCTAGATAACCCGAGTGAGATTCTACAGAACGAGAAGATTCAATAAAGCTAGTATCTTTGTTGGCCTCCGATAAACATCCTAAGACATCAAAGCTATAGGTTCTCCCCGTTCATGGATCATAATCTTCAATCAAAAATTGGACACTCGACCGTGTCATATCACACTCTGATAGTTTTGTAGCTTCCTGGAGTGATAGAAACTGATTCATTCCGTCCAGTCCCAGCGGCTCAAAATTATATTTCTTTCTTTCAAAGTGTTCATGTATTCCCTGAATGGTGAAAGGGAGCCCTATGCGGTCATCGGATGGAATGTGTAAAGCTACACCAAGACAGTCTGTCAGAATTTCCGTGCAGAATTTCAAGGTATCAGAATCGTCGAGTGGAGTAGCTGAGTATGGATGACACCAAGATCTCAACCCCACTGAAACTTTGTCTAGACACTCGTAGGAATTAATGTCATTTTCAATAGATTCAATTTTATTGTGTTGGGAAGTTCTGCCCTCTATCGACGAAGTTGGTCTCGACGGTGGTAGTTCGATAGAAAGCGCCATTTTGGGCCCAGAGTAGGTGTTTTCATACCATCGCCAAATGTCACTTCGAACAGGATCAGATCGAGTAGCGCTAGGTTGATTGGGTGTGGAGGCGTTAACACGTAATTGGATATCAAGATCCCGGGAAAGCTTTTCGTTGATCCCGCGAAGCAATTTGAGTAATTCGTTGTGCTCAGCGGAATCTGAGCTGAGTGAACTGATTCCTGAGGCTGTCTCCCAATCGGATATTCTTAGTCACAAAAAAGATTGAAATGCTTAAAGGTATCGAAATATTGAAATTGACGAACTTGTTGCTGCAGTTCAAGAAGAGCAGCAATTATATAATTCTTGTAATAGTTGTTTATGGGTTAGCAGAGCCGTGTAATTGCCAGGCCGACCAATCAATAGAAATAATCACATATTTGCCAGCAGTACGCGAATAGCCGCCGACTTTTTCAAGGATCTGACACCCTACACGATGCATCTGTTTGCTTCCAATCAAGTAAATATTTAACAGACTCCTGAAACTTCTACCCGGGAACTGTCTCGCAATACTCCAGATGCGGAAAACGACCTCAATGTAACCATATCAAAATTGTATTGCTTCTAAATAGTCAAAATACTGAATGATTGGCTTGTAGCGTCACCAGCACAAGTAGTCGAATCTAGCTTTCCATCAGCGTTTGCCACAAGGCAGGTTGCATTATTCCCATTTTCAGGGGCAAGTAAAATGTCTGTTTGGCCTTCTATGAAAGGGAATAGTTGCGAGTTTGTCACCAAACCATCTTTGAAAAGTATCAGCGGGCGTTTCTTCTAGTGATATAAAACAATTTCGAAAATACATACCGCCATCGGCTCTTCCCCCGCAAGAGAACATAATAACTGTATCGCCAGCAGCTCTTCTCGGGTCAAAGTTAAGACATCCTTGAGTCTGTCCAGAATTATTAGCATCTTGCGACAACTGTCTATGGAGAAAATAACTACTCACCAAGCTGCTAACTACAAGCACCGAGCCGGCCACGTTATTATGCTTTCCACTTGTAACAATATCCCAAGCTTGATTTTGACTTCCATCACATGTTTGTAGAGTGATTGGAATCAAATTCTGTCTAAAGTCGCCCGCAGTTGGATCAATGAATAGACACTGACCAGATGCATCTTTCAAAGCGACGGACGAAAAAGCCTTTACGGCAGTATTATCCATTTCGTTGGCTTCAGCTGCGGCGGAAGGATTGAGTACACCTCCAGCACGGGAGACGGGAAGAGGGGTCGTTGAATCGCTTGTCGGTACAGCGGAGGCAGCTGCAGTGATGACCACTGATGATGGAGAAGCAGGAGTTGGCAACGATGAAAAACCTGCTGCATCTGAGGCCACTGGCGCAACAGAGCTAGCGACTGCTGGATCGGTGGAGGCACTTGAGGCACCGAAAGTAAATGTTTGGCTAGAATCGGATTCATCACAGGGAGCCTGATCGAGAACGTTCGCAGTAGTAACAGATAAACAGGTGCCTGGGGCATTTTCGGGAGTAAGAGTAAGTGGGCCGGAAGTCTCATTGAATGAGAAGAGCTGGGAGTTTGTGACAAGCCCATCTAATTCAGGTCAGTAAGAACCTGGCGACTAAAAGGCAATAAACAATAAATACCTCCGTCGGCCCGACCACCGCAAGAAAACATGATGACAGTATTGCCCGCCGCACGGCGAGGATCAAAGTTTAAACAAGCTTGGGTCTAAACTCATTAGTCCTTAGAAGAGACGGAAAAGGGGTGATATTGCCCACCAAAGTATTGACAACTAGCATACTACCTGCTACATTGTTGTGTTTTCCACTAGTGAGAACGTCCCAAAGCTGCCCCGTACTGCCATCACAGGCAGCTATTTGAATTGGTGTCAAGTTCGCTCTGAAGTCACCGGAAAGTTCATCCACGAAGAGACACTGCCCTGACGAAGTCTATATCTTGATTAGCACCTAAGAAACTGAGCTCAAGCAGAAGAAGACCATACTGTGATCGGAACCGATGTGAAAGCTCTCGTTGCAGTATCGTCCCGTTGTTGTGCTTCCTCAAAGGCAGTCTGATCAAGAGAAGCGACAACTCTCATACGAAAGGCTGGGGAAGCAAAACCCCATGTTGCTAAAAGTAACAATAAAATGAAGAGATACATGATTGCGGGTTGATATGTAATAGGGTAAAAAATGATCGATGGCAAGGAGTAAAATTACTTGTACACTTGTTGAAAAGAATGGAAGACTGCCCAGCAGTTTAAGGAAGGTAAATTCAGAATAGAGAACGAAAGAAGAAATAGTAATAAAAGTAGGAAAATAGAAATAATCGCAATTGAAGTTTGTGATGTGCAATGAAGCAGAAAACTCACGATGGTATATATCAACTTTACATACTTGAGTAACATTGTACCGGCGGTCCTCGAAACACTTCTTGTCAAAGGTCACAGCATATGAATCTAAAAGCAAAGGTACTTGGTAAGTAGGACATTACCAAGAAGTCCTCTTAGGGCTTTCCTTAATGCAGAATAAGCAGATTATCAACTTCACCTGAGCAAACATGCAAGTAATGAAACCACACGCGTCGCAAATCTTGTTCCCGTGTAGCCGTTTTATTTGGCGGTTAGGAGGTCAAGTTTCGGGTCAGGTCTCGGGAGAATCCGTTTGATCTGCACTGATTGATCTCATCGCTCGTGAAATGATGAGGGTTCATCTGATCTTTGTTTTGAGTTTAATTCCAGATGGTTTATGATTTTTGAAAGGAGGATTTGTTTTTGTTAGTTCCCGAAAAAGATTTTGACACACGCCCTCAATTTCAGATGACCGTCGAAACGAGCTTGGCGGCCCTGGCATCAGCTCCTGCATGTCAAATCAGACGACTGGGGTGTCTAATCGCAAGGGCGGTTCATCCGTTCGCCAATTCTTCTAACATCTCTCTAAGCCAGAGATCAAATGGGGATGAAAATCTACTTTATGTTATAGCGCTCGAAGTTTTGGTTAGCATTGAAATGAATTAGTACTGCATAATAGGTTTAGACGGCACAGAATTCAGAAGCTTGGAAGAGTAAATCATGGACAAATTAGAAGATTCGTTGGACATCGTAAATTGTCTTTCATAATTCATGACGACTTGGTATTTTACATTCCCACGCGCTTTTAATGCATTATATCTAATCTTCATCCCAGTTCTATCACAATCAGTAAGGATCATCGTCAATGGAAAGATTGTGAACTTACAGGATTTGGTCCTGGAGGCTTTGGTCCACCAGCTTGTCTAGCAACAATAATTTGATCAACGGAGAGCACAGTTCTTGCGGCCTCGGTAGCAAGCTTGATAGCCCAACTCTTTGAAATCATAAGATCTAAAATACCCTCTTGCTTTGCATCAAGAGTTCCGGTATCATCCTCATTCTATGGCAAAATTAGTATAAGTCTAAAAAATGGTACCAATAGGGCTTACTTCAATATCAACACCAGTATTCCAGTTATCGTGCTTGTGGTGAGCAGTATAAAGTCTGCTTAATGTCTCTGTGGCATCAAGACCAGCACTTTCTGCAATGGTTCTTGGAATAACTTCGAAAGCCTCACCAAACTTGCGAATGGAGTATTGAGCCAAACCAGGAGTCTTGTCACCGAATGCTTGTATCCTCTCAACCAATTGAATCTCTGTAGCTCCGGCACCCGGTACGAGTCTTGGATCTCTTGTGATGGCCTTAACGACGTTGACACCATCATCAACAGCACGCTCGACATCATCAAGATGATTCATTGTTGCTCCTCGAAGGACCAAAGTGGCAGTTTTTGTGGTTTCGTTCTCTTGTCTGAAAACTGTAACTCTATCTCCACCAATCTCGAGGGTCTCCACAATATCAACACTTCCCATCTCATCAGGCATTGGTGCTCCAAGTCGAGCTAGTGGAGTAGCACCGACGACTCTACATAATCTTCTGAGTTCGAATTTGCTGAGAATGCGGATGACCAAAATACCAAAGCGGTTAAGGTAATGCATGGCAAGTTCACCTACAGTAGAACCAGCAACAACGACTCGTAGACCGGAATCATAAAGCTCCTTGATGGCAGTTTCCAACTGGTTCTCTTCTCCCTTTGTGAAATCTAACATCTCCTTGGCGTTATGTAATAAAACGGTACCCTTGGTTTCTGTTTGACTGATGTCGATTGGGCATGAGAATACACCGACCTTTGCCCTGGTGGCCTTCTTGACTGATCCATCTGGTTCACGGCCGAAAACCATACCCTTGACAACCCTACTTTGTTCTAAGCTTCCTCCCATAATCTTAACGACTCGGATGTTATCGACGTTGAAGTTGATTGGGTTCTTTGGGAGAACGGCCAAAACAGCTTCGGCGACCATGTTTGCCAAGAAATCCTCGTTGCCGTTTTGTTTGCTTGCAATAACAGTTCGAATAGCTTTGCTGAGTTCGGCCTGCGATCGCATATCCTCTACTTTGTCCACCACTAAGTTCTCTAACTCTTCCAAAGCAAACTTCTGTGCTCGCTCGTAACCTATAACTATATCACTAGTTTTCAATCCCATTCTTAAAAGATCTTCAGCTTTCTTTAAGAGTTCTCCTGCAAGAACAATGACTAAGTTTGTAGCATCTCCCATCTCGGCTTCTTGTTGCTGACTGGCCATGACGATAAGCTTTGCTGCGGGGTGGACAACATCGAGTTCTCGAAGGATAGTTGCGGCATCTGATGTGAGGATCATCTTTTGCAGATGGTTAATGACAATCTTATTTCGTCCATAAGGTCCTAAAGAAGTTTGAACTGTTGAAGCAATAGTCCGGCATGCATCGATGTTACGAATAACTGCTCCATCTTCAGAATCATAGCTTTGGAGGGGGTTAGCTTTTGTATTTACTATGAATTTAGGGAGAAACTCCTACTTTTGATAACCTTGTTTGAAAAGGTTAGAATTAGGGGCATTTGGGATATTGAGAGACATCTTGAAATGTGTTCAGTAGAAAGATCTCTTGCGTTGATATTATCCTTCCCTTCCTGCTCAGGGAAAAAAGTCGCGTCTATCTGCCTTTTTTGGTGGAGGAAGCGTGGATGTTGGCCTTGAATTGTGAGGCATCAATAATTTTCGATGCATGCCCAGGAGCTGTCATGCCATAGTTTACCCGACTTGAATAGCTTCATAGACCAAAGAATGAAATGCGATGTGAAGCTTAAATTCGAGACAACCAACGCGAATACTACAAAACCGTACAGACTTTCTCATCATACGAAACTCACCAAAACAATCATCGAATTTGCGCAAAATCCAAGTCGAAAATTCAATACACTCAATTCATCAGCTTCAACAGTACGTATATTGTATCAACCCATTCATAATACTTTATAGCTATTAAAAGGGCCCCAAGTCCAGGTAGTGGAACGAATCTAGTGCTAATACCAACGTTCAAGATTGCGCTCCACAACCAACATATCTCCTTCAACCACGTTTTATCAGATCAATCGGCGTTACCCTCGATTCGCGAACTTCAGGTGTCGCATTACTGTGAAGCTCAGGATAGTGGTTGATCCCCTTCGAAGCTTAACGTCGACTTCATCTGTTGGACAACCACCATTAAATCAAAATGGCGTCCAACGGAATATCAAAAAACCCACCAACACTTCCCCCATCAGTCGAAGAATCATACAAACGTAAATGTATCCAACTCAAGACTCGAATGAATGAAGTCGAAGAAGCCAATGATGCCGCGCGCCTCAGGTTGTCACGAATGCGTCGAGCAATTAACAAGATGCGTCTGGAGCGAGCCTTCCTGTTGGAACAAATGTCGAAACGAACGAGTACAAATGTGGAAGATTCAGAGGGTTCCCCAAGCCCACCTCCAACAGTAGGTTCATCTATATCTCTTCTTCCGTGTCCCTTTCTATATGATTGCAAAAAGACATCTGACATGGAAATTCGTAGCCTCAAGAAAAGCCATTGCGCACAAAGCGTGGTCACCGCAAGCCCTCTTTCCTGAATACCCTCGGTGATCCAACCGTTCCACTGCCCAACAGTTTGAATGCCAATCTCGCCATCTCACCTTCCTCCTCCTCCTTCTCTCATACACATCTCGATATGCCGAGTAACCCTAGCCAAGGAACATTTAATAGCTTCAATACCTCCGTTGCCCATCCACAACCAATATCTCCTCGCCGCGCACTCTCCAATTCTACTCCTATGGGCGGGCGAACGCCGCACTCAGCCTCCCATTCTCCATCTATCCCCCCTTCTGGACCACCCAAAACGCCTGCATCAGGCTTCGAACTATACTGCCAGGAATTACGTGGGCCCATGATGGTACAGCATAGACGTGGTATCAAGGAAGGAAACCTTGACATCGACCGTCTTTTGGCAAGCGGATGGAGAGAAGCAGATGCTGCAACCACAGAACGATACGAAAACCTATTCAAAGCAATGCAAAATGCAAAGAAACTCGAAAACAGCGCCCCCCTAGACGACGACGTAGAAATGGGAGATAGTGGTCGTGAAGAAACACCCAATGGCAACGGAGCCAATGGAGCTGGCGGCTTCACATCTGTGAACAGAGGCTAGACACAATCTACGGAGTTTACTTGGCAGTCGAGGAATGGAAAGGATCTGGATCAATACGAAATGCGAATGGGATAATGGAAGGACGAAATATTCGAAACTTGGCGTTAGGAGGCGTGAAGATGAATCAAGCTGCTTGCTTGCAACATTAGAATTACTTTTTGATTTTCCTGAGATGGAATCCTTCGTGCAGATATCCATCTGCGTGTGTATTTGGTAGTCCACTTCTTTTGGTGTAATATTAACTTCATACGATCTTACTCTTTTTTGATCATGCGAAAATGCCCCCTTTGACATATCCGAGAATAGACTGGAAAGTATTCAGCCCATCAAACTTGTGTAAGCTTTGAAAGAGGTATTTCCTGCTTGAAAAATGCAGTAGACTGCCAATCAACATCTCTCATTTCACATTAAACATCACATCACGCCACAACAAACAATCCAAATGTATTCACTCAATTCTTTCCATTCTTACACCTCATCCTATCTACATATACAAGTCCCCTTCAAAGCTATCCTTCCTCGCGAAAAACAAATTGCCCGTCTATCCAAATATCAGAACGCCCGTTTCCCTCCACGCCATGCATGCACGCACACAGTCCTTCAAGTACTATGTGATGTAATTATTATGTACAAGCCTGTAAGTTCCACCCCAAAGAAACGAATAGAAAAGAAAGAAAAAATTAACGCCCGCGTTTCCGTATGATCAAATCTTGTGTACAAAGTCATTCCAATGGTAAAAGAAATTGGAATGATGGGCGGTGATTATGTTAATGTTCCAGTATGATGGTTTGTATGGTGATTGAGTATGCCATGACAATTTTCTCTGCTCCCTTTCTAGCTTGAACTGTTGGTTGAATGATAACTTCATTGCAATCCAACAATGAAGGATTCTGGGCATTCGAATGCTCCGAAACATAGAAGTGATTTTGAACATTTGGATAATCCCAAACATCAAATCAAATCTCTTCATAGCCAAGTAGTTGAGAGGGCGAGTACGTAGTTCTATAAATCATTCGCCGACTGACAAATCGACGACAATATTGAGAACTGCAACTAGAATTTCCACAGCAATCAGAACGATAACAACCCATTCTAGCTTCTCTCCATGTCTGTGACTGAGTTGATCCTTGAGAACTGCCAACAAGTCCGCAATGACATCCAATCTCTCATTCAGCAGCTTCACTCTCTGATCCATTTCTAGGTAACTTCTCACAGCTTGGTATATTGGTTCCAATTGCGGTTCTGACCAAAATAACTCAGGGGTATCCAGAATTGAACCATTAAGATGAATATTTATGCGGAGGATGAAGAGCTCGCCGATTTGCATGTTGATTCTTTTTCGTGGGAGGTCAATAGCTCCTGTCAGCGCGATTTGGGTAGGAATGTCTTTGTTTTCGTCGATGGTGCTGTCTACCAAAGATTCAAAAAGTGAGGTCTGAAATAGATAGTTAGTACCTTAACGAAGATCGGATTTAAAGACGAAATACCTTAACACTTTGCGCCAAGCCGTGGGAAATCGCTAGTTTGGTCATATAATTTCTCTTGTCCTTCAAGGTGATAAAATCGTTGTAAATCCGAGCTTGATACTCTACAGTGTAATAGAAGTTGAAAGACTCCATTTCCACATCGTTGGCTGCGAATTTGCCGCTCTCGAACCTCGCTATGTCCTTGAGGAACCGCTGCTCATCCTCTTTAGACATACCCCATATCACCACAACACCATAGCCAAATAGGAACACTTCGGGTGTGTGAATTCGAGTGTCAAAGTCGGGGTTGCTTTCTGATATAAGAGCTTCGGTCTCGTTCTCCATTTGTCGCTCCATGATTTCTGGGAGAATATGGTTAGCGGGAGAGTGGTCGCCATTGCTGATAGCAACATCACCGCCATTGGTATGCAGGTCTATGAGGTCGTCTCGACGTTGCTTATTGTTGTCTTCCACCTCAATAACACTATCCGAGTGTCTTCGCTCCGTCAACTTTACCGGCGCACTATGTACCTCCATGTCCCGATCCGAAGGGGTTTTCCCATGGTCTTTACCGTATCTAAATGGTGTGTATATACATTCATCAAACAATTTTGGGTTTGCTCCCTTCGTCTTCTTGCCCCGACCATTCAGGAAGCGCATCACATTTTCCAATTGGTATTTGTTAGCAGTACAGTATGCAGTCACTCGAGGCAATCGAGCGCGATCAGCCTTCCCCAGCCTTGCAGCATCTCTACGCGCTGTCGGATCTTTGATTCGTGTAAATTGAGAATAAACATCTCGTCCGCTCTCTTCGTCCGGTCCATCTGCGCCAACCTCCAAATCTGGAAGATACTTAAGCTTTTGTGTGATCTTACTAGCTCTTTGAGGGCCTATCTTTGATGCCGGGTGCATTGGCACTTGAGGGGATCCATGACTGTTTCGACGTCGAAGTTTGCTATTGAGAGAAGGTGGTGATGGGGCTATTGTTCTAGGCGATTGTGTATATTCATTGGGATCAGTTGTCCTAAGTGCTTGTGAAGGTTCGTTCAAGCCAATTGTCCTGACAGTTGGATTGTCATTGAAGGTAACATTCCTTGGGGCTTTCTTGGAGGTGTTCGTAGGACTGAGAGCTTGTTGGTCGAGAAGAGGTGTGTGCTCTGAGGGGCTGGCGCCGGTGAAAGCCATGGGAGCGTCAGTCGTGTGTATTAATTCTATCGCTATCGAGAGAGAGTTGAAAAGAAGGACTTCAAAGGAGAAAGTTATATGTGCATAGGATTGATTGAGGTATTAATGTATCTAGTAGTAATTCATGAAGTTAAAAATTTACATCTCTGAAATGACGTTTATTTTCTATAAGAGGAAGCAACATTTGGGCAAGCTTTCATCAACAAATCGTGAGATCCGTGCGGGAGCGTTAAACCTCATTCGGAACAGCTAGCACATCCATTTTGATATCAACAGTACGGTTTATTACTATCGGCAAATTTTGATTCGACAGGTAGTATCTGCTGCCGACATTCACTTTGTGTTCGAAGACGACGGGCTCATTCTGTCATTATGAGATTCCAACCTCGAAGCGACGGTTTCAACGAGCCTGTACCACTATGGGCCTCTCTCGAATACTCCCTCTTCAAAAGGTAAGATCTTACAAGTGGCATAGATCAGAGAGGTAATTGCACATGCCCAAGGCATATATCGGGATTCGGGTGAGAAGCATGGCAGCAATCATCACGGATTTATGGGTCCATTATAAGAGTGGTAAGGTCATGATTACTTTATCCCATTGGTAGCTCTTATCCCTATGGCTGAGGCTGTGTTTCAACCTGCATATCTCAGCCCCAGACAGTATCACCAACTCATTTGAGTCCTCGAGATATTTCACAGATTCCTGTCACTTCAAATTTCAACTATATTCATTCTAAAATAATCACTATGTCTGGAGTTGAATTTATCGCTGTCCTTGGAATTGCTTCCAATGTAATAGCAGTTGTGGATGCTTGCACTAAGATACAAAATCGTATTCAATCATATCGCCAAAACGCTGCTTTTCGCGACTTATCTCTCCAGTTGCCTTTACTTATCTCAGCCATCGAGTCTTTGAGATCTTCTCAATATCGTGATCTTCTAGATCCTTCAACCGAAAAGGCATTGGTTCGTGTCCTGGAGGGATGCCTTCGTCAATTGCAAAATCTAGAGGGCTTGATCAAAGACTTGACACCTAGTGACACAGCATCTAAACTCCAGAAGACTTGGAAAGGGATCAGAAGTTTTGGCAAAGATACTAAAGTGCGGGAGATAGTCGGTATTCTGGCAGAATATAAGTCGACTATTGCATTGCACCTTTCTACCGTGCATGTTCACATCACCTCAAAATCTGGAGCATCATTGTCTAACAGAAGATCATACTTTGATGTTCCCCAATCAAGAGTTGCACAATTTGTTGGCCGAAAAGACGTTTTGGATCGAATTCAAACAGCATTAAAAGCTAGCCACAATGACCCTTCAATTGTCGTTCTTACTGGTGTGGGAGGTCAAGGGAAAACTCAGATTGCTCTAGAATATAGTCACCAGCACATGAAATTCTATAAAGGTGTGTTTTGGATTGATGCGTCATCGCAGAAGTCTGCGTCTCGTGGATTCGAGAGAATTTTGAAGGCAATCGACAGTTCTGCAGCTCAATTTGGTGGTGAGGAAAGCAAATCAGCTGTCAAACACATCTTGGGTGATTGGAAGGAACCATGGCTATTGGTCTTTGATAATTACGACGATCCAAACGCTTTCGGTGATTTGCCATCCTTTTTTCCAAACGCCACTTCTAAAGAAAACGCCATCATCGTGACAAGCCGTCACATATCAAGCGGTAGACTTGGCAGTCACCTGAAGCTAGATGGACTGACCGAGGAAGAAAGTATACAGTTATTGACATCCAGATGCACTTCAGTCTCAAATTCTGAGGATGATCTAAATCAGGCAAGAGATATAGTAAAGAGATTAGGATACCTCCCGCTTGCTATTGATCAAGCAGCAAGTTACATCTCAATTCGCCATCTTCCGCTTCACATATTTTCAGACCACTTTCAGAGGCGAAGGGAATTCATACTGAAAGATACTCCGCAGTCTTTGTGGGAATATCAAAAACGAAGCTTGGTCGATTCACAAGAAACTTCTGAGCATCTATCAGTACTTACCACTTGGGAGCTGTCTTTCGACCAGATCTCTGGCAATGATGAGGAGAGGAATCGAATTGGCGAATTCTTGGCCCAAGCTGCATACTTCAGCCCAATGAGTATCAGTGAATCACTGTTCAAAAATCCCGATATCTATAACGTCAAGTCTCCAGGATGGAAGTCTCTTTTCTGCACTCAGGATTCTTGGGACTCTTTCAAGTTTCAAGATGTTATTGTCGGCCTTGTAAATCTTTCAATTATTCAAAACATGGAGATCACGAGCGATGAGGTTCGATTCTCTTTCCATCCATTAGTAAAGGTATTTTTGTTTTCGAAAGCATGTTTAAGAAAGAGCTGATAAATCCCAGGATTGGTTGCAACTTAGAGAATCTGTAGAGAGACGCCGGGCGTGCGTGAGTTTTGCGATCGCATTAACAGCATCTGTTATTCAGGAAACGGACACAGAACTGCTTTCCCTGCAAAAAAGACAAGAGCTGCTATCACATATCGATGCCTGTATCGAGAACAATTCATCTTTTTTGACTGATCAGCAGAGCATTATAGAATACGGAGGCGTTATCGAAGGATTTCAAACCACTTTTGCTACATTTTATGGGCAACATGATAGAAACAATGATGC